GACTTACCCCGAACCCCACCCCCTCCATGGAGCCGGGTTTTCCAAGCAAACTAAGGACGTGTTCGGGCCGAGGTCGCCGAGGCCTGGGGCCGTCGTCGCCAGGTCGCATGGCCGCTGGCAGCTACGAGCTGACCTTTGGAGACGAACGGCAGACGCAGAGCACGGCAGGGGTGACCCGGTCCGAGCGCGGATGAGCGCGAGAGCGGGTGTTAAAGGCCCCGGTCCTCCACAGCCATCGAAGCATCATCAACCCTTCTCCCAACCCATCTCCATCCCAGCATCTCCGTAAAAAACCACCAAAACCGACCAGTGGGAGTCATATGTTGCACATGGATTTGACCATCGATCTCCGGATTGGCATGGAAATCACCATTCACCTGTCAGTCCGAGGTGAAGAAATTGGGCCCCAACGGCTGGACGGCGAAGGCGGGTGAAGAATTGGGTCGACCGATCCACCCGGTTTGGGGTCGCCGGTCGTCGGTGGAGGCGTTGGGGGTCGTCCGTTCGGTTCGGGGTCGACCGATCCGTAGATCTGGGGGCTGACAATGAAGGTCAACGCGGAAAAAAAGGTCCCAAAATGATCCTAAAATGTCAAGAAACAGTTGGTCTGAGAGTCATTTTCCCAGGGGTGTCATGAAGAGATATGAAGAGAATATTCGAGAATCAACGTGTGCGTCCTGGCTTCTGAAGCAGTCCAGCTGGTGGGACCTGTAGGTGCATGGAGTCGCCCTGTCATTATCATCATAATAAAACATAATCTACTTGCATGGTTCGTGGTTATTTCATGTTTGAGGTTTCTTGGGGAGTTTGTTCGAACAGAACTATGGTTGATCATGGTTGATCCTGACTCCCTCACTGGTGATGGTCTTCTCAGGCTGTCCAGGGTGATAGGTTCTTTACTTTAGTCATTGTGCTGGAGGCTGGGAGGTGCAACGGTGGATGCAAAACTGAACCATGCAAGTAGATTTCATGTGTTGTGAAGTTGTTTCTTTAGATGAGATGAAGAATGTGACTTCATGCTTCTTTGAATCTACAGTATTCAGATCTATTCAGCAACTTCAGCAGATGGGCTTGCCCCCTTTTTCCTTTCAAAGCCACTCTCTCAGTCAGTTGCCAACTCGTTGTTTGGATGCAAACCTCGACCTTCGAATCGCTCCGGATCCGACCGGATCGACTGGCGAGGCTCGTCGCAGCGTCCTGACCAGCGAAGAGGATTCCACCGCGGCCACCGCAGCTTGGCAGGATGAGAGATGGCGAAAGGGTGCTTCCCTGTTCAATGGATTCTTTATTTTTCCCAAAAGGTGGGTGCAAACCCCATCTTCCCCAAACAGATCGCCGAAAAACGAAACAGAAAGGTCAAAAAGGAACGGCACGAAGCGGTCCCTTACCACCATCCCAAGCTAGACCATCCATGTATGGAATAATTACAGTTACTGTAGATACAATTTACCGTTTACCCATCTTTACCCCATTTATGCTTTATATATATATTAATTTATGAATATTTATGACTGAATGTCTTTAAGTAATTTCAGTCCCATGGATGGTCTGGACGTGGGGCGCCTCTCTCGCCGCGTCTGGAGGATAGAAGTGGGTCGTTCTTTTGGTGAGTTTGGGCGTAAGTCAAGACAGGTCAAAAAATGTTTTGGGACAGTTTTTGGAACCGTTTTGGCTGCTCTTATGAGGCTTTCCCCATTTTTCACTTATGGGAGTGAGTGTGAGAGTTGAGCGCGTGAGTCTTGGCCTTTAGTGACCCAATGTGAACCCCAAACCACTGAACAATACTGTAAAAGTAGCCATACCTCTTTTGCAAATAAGTTCATAGCTTTGTGAAAGCAACCATCATCAACATCCCACGTCGCGTGGTCCCCGGTGTGTTCGCTTCGTTGAGCTCGATGACGTGTCTCTTGTTGAAAGGGATGCAGCAGGTTTCAGTGCTTACTATTAAGAAGAACCTGCTTGGGGGACCAGGTGAACATGACACATCTTTTCAGGACAAGTTCAGTTTGTCCCATATTATAGAGAGATTATATAGGCTATAGGAGTATATAGAGCAAGAGAGAGAAAGAGAGAGCGAACAAACACAATACACAGAGAAAAATGCAAGAGAGAGATATTAGATTATTATATAGATGTAGGTGTATATATAATATGTAGATATATTCATTGATATGATATGATATGATATGATATCATACATTCATTCATTCATTTATTAATTTACTTATGTATTCATAGATAGATAGATAGGTAGATAGGTAGACAGATCTATTTGCATATGTTGTGCCTGTTGGTGTTTTGGCTTTCCATCTTTTCCTTTGAAAGCACTTGTCCAAGACCACTCCCTCCGTACTAGAAACTAGAAATGGAGGCCTCCAGTGACGAGATGTGCGTGATTTGCATGGAGAGGCGACGCACCCAGTATCTTGGCTAATGGGATTCAGGCTCTTGGCTAATGGGTTTCAGTAGCGTTTGGTCTCTCCTTTGTCTCTTCCAATCGAGTCGTTCACGTCGATTGGACGATGGGATGATGGGATCTACGGATGTGGCGTTTCTTGCAACTCATCTGGGATGTGGCGTTTTTCGATTTTGCACAGGAGAAACCGAATCAGCAGTGGATTTTTCATGGAAGAAAGTACAACACTGCTTTTCCAGCGGGCGTTTGAGTTCTTTCGCTTTAAGAACTGGCATCTTCTGTCGTGTTTCCGTGCCGAGTTCCTTTTGACGAGCGCAAAAGAGTTTGGATGCCCATGTATAGAACACCAATTCGAAAGAAATGGTTGGTTGGGAGGGCTCGAAGCTATCATGCCAATCCATCGGAGTCTCAACCCATTTTAACCCCATGAACAACACCTGAATTCTTTGTCGCACCAGCCCAGCAAAGCAGCGAACCAGGATGTCCTTCCCGTGCTTCCCCCCAGGAACTAAGTCAAATGTGGATGCTGTGGTGTCGGTGCTTTCATCTCCAGTGACGTACTTTCAAGGGGGAGGTCACCAGAGGCAGCGAGAGGCAGCGACGGGGATGTTCGCTGAAGTTGTTCCACGAAACGTCCGGGCTTCGCGGTATGATGTCGTCTCCAGCGGCACGTCCGATCCCCAGTGCCTTCATGCATGCGGATGGTGGTCATTTGGCGGTCTGCGTGGATTGTGCAGAGGCGGCTGCGCCGGGAGGAAAGGATGGACCATTTATGGTGGACATTCATGGACATTCATGGTGGCTAATCCTACGATTTGTGAGCCTTGCGGTTTGAGGAAACCGAAGAGGAACATCAGTGACCATGTTTCTAGTGGCGCCCTACAACCTGCAAACATTGTTATGTACAAAATATCATTATATGTATGTATATATATATATGATCTCTATACTGTATATGCCAGTTACACTGTTATTATAGGGTGTGCTATTTTGAGAGAACGAGCAGGAAGGACAGTGTGGCCATGTATGGATCCATCAGAATCCTGTCCTGACCATGCCTCTCGACCTCCGGGGTCGATGTTCCAACCATGATGCCCCTGGTGTTCGATCTCCCCAGAGGTCGAACTGAGGAAAAACTCAAACCCAAAGAGATCGAACACCAGGCCGATGTTCGCCACACCTTCGTTCCAGGCCTATCGTGCGGAGGCAGCTGTGCCGGGCGGCTCCCGTGCCGTCCGGGAGGCTCAGAGGGAGGGGTGGCTCCCAGGCCTGAGATGGGTGAGCTTCAGCGTCCATGCGGAGATTGATGCACCGAGTCGGTTTCATTGGCTGAAGCCGGTTTTCGACACTCAGCCAGAACACATTCTGGTTCTTCCTCAGGTCGGTCCAGGTCACATTACAGTTGAGCAAGGGGTCACTTTGGGGAAGTGGGTGAGAGGGGTTGGCTCTGGTGCACCGTGTAGCAGGTCATAGGTGCCCTGGGGATCAATCAAATGTTCCATCTTGTTTTTTTGGGTCCCTCGTTGGGATGATTCCGGGTTGTATTTCGTGATGAGACCAACGACCTTTCCTTTGTGAGCAGACGATCTGCCTTCGCCCGAAGCCCGAAGCCCGATGTAGTCGAACTTCGATCCGGAGCCAAGGAAGTCGTTTGCAACAGTACTTTTGTGTCTGCTGAAGTTGTTCTGCTGGGCTTGTTTTGCTGAGTTGGATGTCGGTCCACGAAAAAACCGAGAATGACCCTTGCTTGTCGGGGTGGACGTTTGAAGCGAACGCTGTCAGCGGCCCCATAACGCTCAGCGGACTTCAGAAAAGAAGGCTTGAAGGACCGAGCTGTGAATGAAAGATGCCAAGTTCATCTCCAACTCACAAATGGCCTAGCATGTCGTAGCATGTCAGACTCAAAGATGGGTTGTGGGGTTATGGCACCCCATACCGTAGTTCACACAGCCAAAGCAGCTTGTGCTATAAAATATTTGGAACACATTTGGCTTGGGAATTGGTCCATATGCCATGTGAAATGACCTCGGGCGAACCCTGGTAAACAACCAACGAAAAGCTTTTGGCCCAAGATGCAATTTCTACTCAAGTTGTTCTCCGTTTTGTGACAATGTGTTCAGCAGGATATTATCATTCAGTCCTTCTCCAAAGTGACGGGAATGCTATTGCTTGCGGATCGAACGCAGATGGACAATGCAACATTCCACCTTTGGAGGAGGGAACGTGCTACGCGCAAGTTTCGGCGGGATTTGCTCATACAGTGCTTCTCCGATGTGATGGGTGTGCTGTTGCTTGCGGAAAGAAACATATAGGACAATGCGACATTCCACCTTTGGAGGAGGGAGTGTGCTACACAAAAGTTTCTGCAGGATACAATCATTCAGTGCTTCTGCAAAGTGATGGGAGTGCTGTTGCTTGCGGATCGAACTCTTTAGGACAATGCAACATTCCACCTTTGGAGGAGGGAATGTCCTACACCCAAGTTTCTGCAGGAGGTGGTCATTCAGTGCTTCTGCGAAGTGATGGGAGCTCTGTTGCTTGCGGAGAAAACTCTCGTGGACAATGCGACATTCCACCTTTGGAGGAGGGAGTGGCCTACACGCAAGTTTCTGCAGGAGGATATCATTCAGTGCTTCTGCGAAGTGATGGGAGTGCTGTTGCTTGCGGATTCAATGACCATGGGCAATGCAAAATTCCACCTTTGGAGAAGGGAGTGTGCTACACGCAAGTTTCTGCAGGACATGCTCATTCAGTGCTTCTGCGAAGTGATGGGAGTGCTGTTGCTTGCGGAACGAACGATGTTGGACAATGCGACATTCAACCTTTGGAGGAGGGTGTGTGCTACACCCAAGTTTCTGCAGGCCATGTTCATTCAGTGCTTCTGCAAAGTGATGGGAGTGGAGTTGCTTTCGGAGATAATCGTTTTGGAACATGCTCGTTTCCATCCGTTGAAACCACCGGCTGTTGCTACCTTGTTGATTGTGGCAAAGACTACATTCTTCAAGTGGGCGTTGCCTTCAAAGATGATGCAGCGGTGCTGACATGCTGTGATTTGGCCGGGCAGGAGGTATTGCGTGTGAGGGCAAGTGAGTCTGACCTGGCCTGGGATACGCACAAACGCATTGCGAGCGACTTGCAGGTTGGCCTTCCAAATCTTCGTTTGGTCTTGCCTGACGGACGGTTGTTGGCCTCAATTTGCAGGACAAATCCGTTGGCCACCATTGCGGATTTGGGTTGACACTGCTTCAAGAACCCACGGGATCACTCCCAAATTGCGCGAATTGAGTGACGAAAGTCTCCGGGTTGACTTCAGAACCGAGAAGTGTCCCGAGAAGTTGGGCGAGACGTAGATGCTTCGCAGCGGTGTTTCTTCGCTCGCTCGCTGGAGCGGAATGGCCTATGGCCTCGCCGCTGCGAGCGGTCACGGCGACCGAGTCTCCATGGCAAATACGTCGACGAACCCACGAAGATGTGATGGACCCCGAAGAAGTTTCTCCGAAACGGTTTTCGGATTAGGGAACGGAACCGAAGGAGCTCAGCTTTGTCTAGGTTTTGGCCCCCACTGTCACACCCAGGTCGTACACCAGAATATGATCTACCTATGGGTAATTCAGTCTCAAAATCCACTACATTTACATGTTAAAGTTAAAGGCATCACACAATTCGAGAAGGGCCATATGGACAGGACCACATGGACCACTTGGATGAAAACAGTAGGGACCACTTTCGCTTCCGTGGTTTTGACGCGGTGCCCGACGAAGACGAGGTAGAAACGACTGCCTGAGGTCCGCAACTGCCCCATGTGTCGGCAGCCCTTCGAGCGCCTGCAACGCATCTACCAATGAGCGCTGTTTGGCCTGTAAATGCGGAAGAGACACTGTGGAGATTGAATGAGATAGAGTGCCAGACGACTCATCCACGTCGAGAATCAAAGTTAGTGCAGGAATTTTGCGAAAGAGACTGAGTCACTGAGCCCTTTGGTTTTATCATTTGATTCCATTGGTCGTTTTTTGTTCACAGAAAAGTAAACTTCCGATGAGATGAGGTTCGATGGTCTAAAGAGACCAGGGCACACCCCAAAATTCAAGCAGTCAACGAGCCACTGCTTTGAGAAAGCACCAAATTCTGCGCTCATGCGCAGCTGGAATTCTGCTTCAGTGATGCTCTGTAGGCGTTCTATTTCGTTGTACTCAGTGGAACAGTGGAACATAGTGGAACTGGAACCATTGAAACTTCCTGAAATATTCAAATCTGAAAGATAGAAGAGGCTCCAGGACCGCACCGGACGCCATCGGACGCCCAACCAAGACCGGGCGACGTGCAAAGCGGATGTGGTGGAGGATTTCTGCGTCTGGGTTGTGGATCAAACTCTTACACTTGCAGCTAAACGTGATTCCTTTTTTAGTAAAGCGCTTCAACTACGAGCGAAGCGGATTGCAGTTGGCTTTCGATGTGCCATGCAGGACCTGATTCATGGATCATCATGGTTCCCCTTCGGTCCGATTCCAATGAACTACCCTCAGATGCTTCAGGGATTTCATGGTCATCGATGGACAAACACACCAACTTGAGCCAATGACTGAAGCAGCCGTAGGCCCAGTCCGAGGCTTTGCAGCTTCGCATCCACCACCGACAGCAGAGCTAGCGACCTGGTGCTGGTGAAGGAACTTTAAGACTTGAACTCTAAAATTGAGATCCTGAAGGTGATAAAACCACTTCAAGGTAGATCTTTTTGATACTATCTTAATGAAAGCAACTACTTGGACATATTTGATTGCAGTGGTGGTTACCAGACTTGTGAGATCTCAACTTCTCGAAGATCGACTTGTTCTTCAGTTCGTGACTGAATTGCACCCCCATCCGGTTGGTTTGACGTATAGCTGGTCACTGGATGGGACTCCTGAAGAAGCGGGATGGGGTCGAACATCAGTGGAACATCTAGTGGGTTGGTTAGCGGCCAAGACTTAGAGAACTATTAAGAACAAAGGGATGTACAGGAGCCATGTACTTGGAGCTTCTCAGGGAATTTTCTGAGAGAGTGGGATTTCGACCATACCTGATCTTCCAACTGTATGTGCAACATGTTTGCCTTTTGGTGGGAGTTAGAGATGATGAGGTAGACATTGTGCACAGATGGAAGATCCAAATATCTCTACCTTTTGGTTGTCCTCAGTTGTCCTCCCATCCCGGAGTGCAGTCCAACAGTCAAAAGGAATCTTTAGCTCCAGCAGAGGCTGCGATAGACTATCAGATCGACCTTCGGATATGGCACGGCTTCGAAACCGATGCCTACCCTGCAAAAGTGCCTCACACCATGCCTCTCTCTTCATGGCTGGTTCTTGGAGCCTCATTTGACCGGGTTTTTCGCACGTGTTCTCCTCGTCGCAGTGTCGTCAGCAAGAAAAAACCCATCGAAGCAACGGACTGGGGAACCGTCCCACAGGGCCAATGCTTTGTCCTGGGACTTGACATGATCGGCCGGTCCCCCGCGGTCTCACCTCGTGTGACGATGCGCATCTCGGTCGTTTTGGACGCAAAAGAAGGGGGGGGCCACTGTCGCAGGCGATGCTCCCGCGAGCAATGCGGGCACAAGAGAACAGGAAGAGACGATGTAAGATGATGTCAGACAAAGTAGTATTCAATAGCCTTTCTACCTTGACAGCCCAAGGGTACAATAAGAGCCACAGGGCCTTAGCTAGCCGTTGGCCCCAGGTGCGGTTTTCCTTAAATCTGGCAAAACTTCTGCCATGGAGGCCCAACCAATTCATCACAAGGCAAATCCATAGCAACGACAATCAAGACAATCCTACCCACCTAACCGCAAATTGCTTTGTGGGATTCACAACAAGACTGTCATTTTACTGTTTTTTCGTAGTCAGCTCTTTCTGTCATCGCACATGAGAAACCACAACGTCTCACGCAGCGTATCCTCTGAGCTTTTGGCTCAAGAGAATGACACACGTTGTCCATGGATCATTTCAGGTGACTAGCCAGGTCAGTCAGACTGAGGGTCTGGTCACAGGATTTGTTTGACATCGATATTTGATATGATCCAAGAAGCTTGAAGTTCATAGGCTGTGGTCTTCTTTTTAGAGGAGCTTCTCAGCTATTGGTAAGATTTCACGCACATCGAGACGTTCCCAGGCAGAAGATCAGCTGGCAGTCGCTCGCACAAAAAAATACCTAAATAGTGACTTTTACCCGCTACCGCCACGCATGGCTGAGCTCAATTTGGAGGCCTCAGCAGATTCCAGTTGGCAATTCATTTCCAAAGAATCCAGATTTAAAGAGCAGTTTATTGTAGCCTATCTATGACCATCCATGACCCAAATGATCCCAAATGTACAATCAGCCATTCTAAAGCTACTGCATCCTGTTTTAGAAGCTTACTTAGACTTAGTCTTTAGCACTTTCTCTTGTCGAAGAACCGGCCTTTTGAGGAAGGCGGATGATTGGACCTGAAAGACCCGGGGACTCGCCACGAGGTCTTGCAAAAGCGGTACAAATGGACTACGCCGACGAGCCCCTCTGTCATGGACGCCATCAAAAGCGTGAGGATTTGTTGGCAATCGTCACCCAGTTCACCTTGAGTTTGTATATTAAAAAGGGGGTGGTGATCACCCTAAAAGCAGGGTGGGAGGGGGGCGGTTTCAAGAACATCAGACTCATAAGTTGATGTTTTTGACGAGACACTAGACAGGTGGGTTTTTGCGTGAGTTTGGAACCAAACCGTCCATTTCGACAGTTTTTGCTTCTGTCGAAACGACAGAGTGGTGCGTGCAACGAAAGCCAATTAAACTTGCCAGGCCAAAAGGCACAAACAGGTGCTTCTTGGGGCATCAGGGCACCCTTGCATACTAAATTCCATCCCTTTGAAGCTCCTGGCTCAACTATGCTCAACTAGTAATTTGATGTAATTTGTCTATGACACAAGAACTATACATATATGGACTAATTAGATGACTATAGAGTTCATTTTGTAATTGTCCAACTCTGGCTGACCAGCTTGCTGAACGAGGGCAGTGCCCTTGGCCAAGGCGAGCCAACGGTGCAAGCGCTCAAGGACAGCACAAGCGAAGCGCAGAGCCGCGCGCAGCGCGGCCTCGGAGTACCGTCTTTCGGAGACGAACGTGGGGAGCACTCCAATGGAGGCAGTAGTGCGGTACCTGCGCGGTACCTGGCAGTAATACGCCAATGTATTCCAGGTGATGTCTTCCTTCAAAATACTGGAGTAGAGAAGCTGGTGGTGTGAACGAGACAAATCGAATCCAGTGGGAAAAGCTCCGGGGGCAATTTGGGCCAATCGTGTTAACCAAAGATCCAAAGTTGACATCGCTTTTAGGTAGCATGGACAAAATCTTAAAATATCTTGAAACGCTGAAACACATTCGGGAACCTTTAAGCTGATGGAACCGGTTTTGATTTTTCATGTGCCAACAGCACCAAACGGGGTTGGCCCTGGCCCTGGTGATCCCTGCTAAAGATGGAATGTTACACCTGGCACATCTCCAAAGTGTGAGAACCTAACAAACAGCTCAGTGAAATGGTGGATGTTGCTCATTGGAAGATCGAAGAGGACTCCCTAGCCCAACAGTTGCGAACAGCTAGATTTGAGAACTTGTAAATTCCTGACTGCTTTGAGAAGACTTCTTAGTAACTAGAAGCTCCGACCGAAGTGGAGGCCTTCGCTACGACCCAACACCGTCGGTGGCTCGCCCGGTGCCGTTTCGCCCGAAGCGACGCCAGGACCACATCGGTGAACGAAGCAAAGGCGCCCGGTGAACGCGTGGTTTTTGAACGAATGGATCGTTTGGAGGAGAGTTGAATGCCTAGAAGGATCGCGTTAGAAGGATCATGAATCATCAGGCGCCTGGAAGAAGGGGTCACCCGGGGTCACCTGTTTGGAGGACCCCCCACGCGGGACATGTTTTTCATGCAGAATCTTGATGAATCACACCTGCATAATTATACAATATTCGATTATAATATTAATATCGGTTTTACAATCCAAATGGGTTGGATTTTATGATTATTGATTCAAGAGCTTGCATACTAGCTTGCATAAGGTCTTCATAGGGCATCCCTTTGGAAGCGCGATCTTCGTTTGGTTCCGGTTTCGGAGGGTGTCGGGACACCGATGCTTCGCCGTCACACACATCAGCACCGACCAGGTGGTTTTCGTTAGTTGAAACGTGTTGAATCCACACACGGCATTAGCACCTTGCATGGTTTGTTACTCTGCTACTTCCGTAACTTCCGTATGACTTCTTTTCCTCACCACCTAGAATCAATTCACCATACCGATAGCACACACCGAGTGCGCCTTCCAAAGAACACGTGCCACCCACCCTTCCTTTGATCGAGTTTGCATGAGATGTGGCAAGTCGGCCGGACTGCCGGACGGAGGGATTCCCAGAAGGGTGCAACTATGTGACTCCTGAACTTTTTTCTAGAACATCCAAGTCCAGCATACTTAGTAGAAGGAGCATGAAGGAGCACAAGGGAAGATAGATGAAGCAGGATCAACCTGCATGCACCATGCATGAACCTACATTTTTGACTTGGACACCTTTCAACTGTTTGTGAGGACAAGTTGATAGACATCTCGCCAGAATCGCCAGGTGATTCGCAGTTGCACTCCTATCACCAGAAGTTGCGATTTAGATCTGAGGCCAAGGCACCGGCCACTGAGTGGCTCAGTCGATGATGGGCACACCTACTAGGGGCTGATGCATCGGATGCAGGACAGACGTGACAGTGGTGCATGATGTGAACTGTAGGGTGAATGTTAATATATAAACACATACATACACTGTAATTTATTTGAGAAGAAAAAACGACAACTTTTGCAGACATTTGCTGAGTCTATTAGCATGTACGTGCTTGGTTTCTTCCAGGGAGGGGGGCCGATCCATTGGGGTTGTTTCTCAGCCTGGCTGCCGTTTCCTGGCGTTTCCTTCGGAAGCCAGGGCTTCCATGTGGTCACCACGGACGAAGAAAAGCACATTATGAGTGCCCAAATGAGCCCATGATTCCCCCTTCACTGATGTTGTCAACAGCCGATCTTGGAGCCGGCAAAGAAGCAAAACAAAGCATAAGTTTTTTTTCTGGCCGTGTGGGGTCAGTAAAACGCAAGCTCTGAATGTCCGGGGGCTTGTTGTTGTTGTTGTTGTTGTTGTTGTTGTTTGTCTTTACACACTGCTAAGTAAGTGTTTTGATCCTAAGTGTTCAAGCTGTCAATTGGCCAAAGCGGGCAGAAGTTAGTGGAAAAGATATCGCAGCTTCCTGGATGATGTTCAAGCTTCTGTCAAGATTTGGAGTAATATGGAGCAATATTTGCAAACGTGAAAAAGAAAACAAGACCTGCCACAATTTTTGAGAGGCCAGGTGTCAAGAAGGCTTGAGGCACTGCAGTGGAACACAGTGTTGCACTCCAGGTTTATTTGGTCCACGTTCCCAGGCCCTGGAGAACGATGACCTGGTACCGGTGGCTCCTGCCATCGTGCAGGTGCCTGCTCCACACGAACTGACGGGAACCGACGTGGTGAACAGCGCAGGCTCCCGACATGACCGGACCACCCCCGAACTGGTCGCATTCGTTGAACTGGGCCCGGCTCGGCTCGCTGGAACATCCGCCCCGCCTGGTTGCAGCTAGGCGTGGTGACAGAGCCCCTGGGATTGTGGGGTATTGGTGGGCCTTTTCAAAGATCAGAGCCAGACAGCCAGGCTGGGAGGATTTGCTTCCATGTTCCTTTCACTGGTAGGTCGGTCCGTAGGGTCGCCCCATTAAGGAACTCTATCACAATCTATATTATCACCTGAGCCTATTATATATCACTATTAACCATATTATCCCTATTAATCCTATACATGAGCCGTTTAGAGCCATTGAACTAAGTCGCTCACTCCAGAGCTGGCTCTGGAAAAGATGCTCTCGATTCTCCCCTCGCCAAATGACCAGTGTGGTCCGATGTGGGTGTGTGATTAATAGGGAGACCTCCCAGTTCGACCCCCTAAAAGAAGGAAAACATATACACCACGCAGTCTGTCTCCATTGGGCCAGGGTGTCTGTTAATACACACCCTATGTGTGCTCTGAATATTCCGATGTGAACGATGTGAAGCACCCAACCCTCTGCCGACTGATTCTGCCTGCCAGGTGCTCGGCCCAGGGAGCGTCGTTCACATGTTCGGTCTGTTCTGTCAGGGCCCCGGTGATGGGAGCCAAATCGGGAACCGAATCGGGAAAACCACAGCGGGAACCGCAGGAAAACCGGTTTTCAAGGGATCTTGGGACTGCTCTCATGGTGTGGCAGGGCTGGGGCTGGGTTCCACTGTGTTCCTTGGTGCTTGGTTTGAGGTGAAGACCGCAAAGCAGAACGGGCCAACGAAGTTGAGTGGGAGGTGAAATCAGCTCACATTTTGTTGCTCTCCTTGTTGGCCATATGTGGAAAGGGAGAGCTGCTAAGGATGATACATCGATACCAATTATCCAAGCAACCTCCAAGTTATTCAGTCTTCAAAACTATCAATCCCATCAATACCGACCGATTCGACTAGGTCTTGCTGTTTGTTGGCCTAGGAGTCTATTTTTTAACAACCTTTTTAGAACCCCTTGGCGCCCTTGGTGTTAGTATCCTAATCTAACCTAGCTTGGGGACGATCCTACTTCCAAGCTCTGAATCATTCACTGAGCACCGACAGCATTTAATGTGTGTGTGAAGCTCCAGTAGCAGGAGCCGTGCTTAGCTGAGCAATGATGGGAAATGTTTGATGGCCAATATACAAATTCAATCAAATTCACATTTTTCGTGGACTTTTGAACCAGCTCCCACAATCTGACACCATCAGCTCCCACAATCAGCTCCTTCGATGTCTTGCTACCTCGGATACTGAATCTTCCGCTGCTCTTCCTGCTCCTCTCACCCTGTTGGCCACAGGTGATCGCGATGGAAAGCCCTTGCCCAAGGTGCCGAAGTCCTCGCCCTCCACGCCCCTCGGCTTTTCAGCGAGCGCTTTGGCGAGGAACCGCTTTGGCGAGGAAAGAGCTCCCAAGTGCAACGACATCGTTTGCAAAAAAGGTCCTTTGCACATTGCTTTCTTTGGAAACATATGCACTTTCTTTGCGTAAACATGGGGATTAGACATCAAACTAAGCTAGCAGTCACTTGATGGACGAAGGATGCGTTTCGTAGGGTTAGTTTGGCAAAGGACGCTAAAAGCCCCTCTACAGATGTTCATATGGGGGATCCTTGGATCCTTATGGGTCGGCAAGATTCGCCCGTTTTTTTCTCTGAACATCTGCCCGTTCGGCCCCTAACGGCTTCTTCCAATGGGAGTGCAGACTCAAAGTCCCCTTCCCAAAGCATTTGCCCAGCAGGTCCCGGGGGTCAAGATGGTGGCAGCTAGCACGTGGTGGTCAAGATGGTGGCAGCTAGCACGTGGTAGCAGGTCATGGAGACTCTTGATTAACAGCGTCCACCCATTTAGATCAAAAACCCCTTATTGGAGGTTATATTTATACATTTATATCAAGAAAGTCTAGACACCTGCTCGCAATTGTTCGCCTTCACCCCCAAGGTCAGCTACCCCAGCACCACGACCGGCCCCGCTGACGGTGCCGACGTACGGATCGGGTGCCGTGGGGCCTAGCTATGGCTATGGGCCACAAGCACCACAGGCACCCTCCGGGTGGCTGACCCATGGGAGTGTCAGGGGGCCTTACCCCCTTGGTAGTTGACTTTTGATGCCTACTTTACAAAGAATCTACATCCTTGCAAATGTTCCAAAAAGGCTGTTGCATAGCGGTGACATGTTTGTTCTTAATGGCACCTGGTAGCGAAAACAGCTGCATCCTGCATGAGACGGTTTCACCAGTCGCCTGGAACTTTGCCATCATGCCCAGCTTAATATGCATAGCATTGTATAGCATAAGACTAGGTCACTCACAGCCCAATTTCTGTGCACAAAATTTGGTAGCTGCGCAAAGAACTCTGAACATTGGCGTTTCCTTAATAGTTAAGGTTGCAGCCTGCGGGCTTTTATGAATGTGGATGATTGTTTAGACACAGTTTCGATTCGGACTGGCCGCGAGGATATGCTGATGCTGACGAATTCCTGGTCCCCTCCATACAACCAGCCTCAGAGTCAGGACAGAAAGTGCAGACTGCTGGACTTGGCTGAAGATACGGCAAGAAGTCTTCCCCAGAAGTTGAAGACCTCATGAATCATCATGAACTCTAGCTTTTCAGCCCAGTGGAGCTCCAGTGTCAGAGTGGATACAATCCCAAATATGGTTTATATGGAACCCCCATCGAAAGGACATCTTGGGCTTTGTGCCATCTACTCTGAAACCACTGTAAGCGGACCTTTTGTCATCGGTCTCCAGCTTCAGCTCAATCAAACGATCTATTTCCAGTGGTCGCCACCCGTATTGGCTCCCCTTTGCCCTTTGTCTGGCTCCTTTTCGGAGCCAGACCTTCTCATCCAACGAACCGTGGTGCTCCCGAGTTGTCGCAGGAGGATCACGAGTTGTCGGAGGCCCTGAAGGCCTCCCGAGCCGCCTTCCAGGCCGATCCGACTGCTTCGACGGGAGCCCGGGTGGAAAGACCCCCCTCGCACCGCGGTCCAGTCACGGTCCAGTCTGGAGGGACCGGAAGGGCCCTTCCGCTGGACGAAAGAAGTGATCCCAGTGACCTCCACCTGTACTTTCTGGCCAAAACCGAAGACTTGTGGAGCTTTTGTCAGTTCCATTACCGGGATGACCCCCCAACATCCGGCAGAGGCTCTCAGAGCGGGCCGTGAAAAAGAATAGGGTAAGAGATTTCGTGTACCCACTGTGTACTCTCACAGGCAGTATTACTCTCACCCTCCAACTATCCAACTCTCCGGAGCTCCAGGGTGTGAATCTTCAAGGTGTATGACCGCCTATATGACTGCCTACCATGTTATTCTAAAGGGCTTTCCAAACGGCGGATCATATAGGGGCGTCCGATCTTCTAACGCCGTCCGATGCTCGCTTCCGCATCGCCGACCTGCTGCGTCAGGCTGACGAAGAAGCACAGTTAAGATGGGCCCTCGAGGAGCCGAACGTCGGAAGCGAACGGGCGGATCCGCCCCGTCGTTGGATTCGCACCGTCGTTGGATTCTTCTATATAGACGATGTTCATCGATGTTCTTTGTTTTCACCATTCGTTTGGGATCTCTCCTTCTAGCTAACCCTATAGTTTGTTTGTTGTGTTGATTCTTCTCCCGAGGTGGGGCACGGCAGGTGCGAAGACGCGCGCAGAGCACAATCGTCTTGTTGGTGATTTGCTGGGCGAAACCACAGGCTCCTCCTTATCCAAAGAAACATGGTTTGACCGGGCTATGAAAGTCTGAGTTGGGCATACATAGTTTGGTTTGTGAATGTGTCCATATGCCATTGGAGGTGATCTCGGGCGAACCCAGGCAAGCCAAAGAAACAAATGAACAACTTTTAACCCAAGGTGTAATCTCTGCTCAAGTCTTTCTCAGGTTTGATGTGTTCCGCAGGAAATGACTTTTCAGTGCTTCTGCGATGCGATGGGAGTGCTGTTGCTTGCGGATTGAACTGTGATGGACGATGCAACATTCCACCTTTGAAGGAGGGAATGTGCTACACCCAAGTTTCTGCAGGAGGTGGTCATTCAGTGCTTCTGCGAAGTGATGGGAGTGCTGTTGCTTGCGGATTCAATGACTATGGGCAATGCA